ATTAAACCCTGAAGACAAATAGTGAAGTTTATGGATAAGATGTGATGAAACATGTAAAAGTTAAACATGTATGTGTTGGTCTTGCTCTGCAGAGGAAGAGGTGGGTGCGGACCGTGTGCCTGCAGCTTGGTGATCTCCTCGGTCAGCGCGTCCTGACTCTCCTCCAGCTGCCTCTTCTTCTGCTCCATGTTCTGCATGTAGTCGGTCAGAGACTTGATCTTGGCCTGGTGCTGGACGAACGAAGGCAGCAGGTGGAAAAACCTCCAAACTGTGAATGAAGAGAGGTGGCTGAAGACTTGTGCACAGCTTACCTGTGAGATGAGCAGCTGACAGGAGGCCAGCTCCTTCTCGTTGGCCTGGATCTTGCGGTGGGCGTCGGCCTGCGCGCTCTCCAGCTGCTTGCTGCGGTTCACCAGAGACTTGACCTCTGACTTCATCTTGCTGATGTAGAGGCGAGCGACGGTGAACTCCTCCTCCACCGCCGAGCCGTTCCCCTTCGCCTCCGCATTCTGAGCCAATAGGAAAGCTGGTCAGATGTTACCATGGTTACGCAGGCGACACACAGCTCTACGTCGGCGCTTAGAACAAATCAACTTTCTCCAGCTGAACAGAAACAAAACTAGCAATGAAGAAATTAAAAATCAGGCCTGAAATCTGGGTGGACCTTCAGAGTCACATAAAGACGGTTACAAAGTTGGTCTTTAATACAAAAATACAACATTTTATCAAATATTTCTGTATAGTTTTTAGTGCAAATATGTTAGCAACTCTTGAAATAAGACAAAACTAACTTTTTTATAAGATAAAAACCTGATGAAAAAGTTTTGGCTTCACTGGCAGATTATTTCACTTCTAACGTGAAACTAGAAATTTTCATCAATGGCAGATTGATCCAGATTTGTGTTGAATAAATATTAAATTTTAAAAAGTGCAAATATCTTTCTACACTTGAAATAAGACAAAACTACAGAAAACTGTACTGATTTCATTAAATTAAAGCTGATCAGTTGCTTTGGATTAGCAGAAACTGGAACATTGATCAAATGTAATGTCTGTCGCCTGTTTCATAATTAATGACTGTTGGNCTGGAAGACAAACATGTCAGAGTTTAAATAAGTCAATAAAAACCGACAATCAGGGAGTTTGGACCAGTTAGTAGGACTTTTTTAAACATGCAGTGCGTTTTGCAGCTGGACGGCCCAAATCATGAGGGAGTGATTGAGATCTTCTGCAGTTCATTTACAGAAACCTGGAGATTTTTGCTCCCAAAACTAAAACAAGGATCATTATTGTTTGACTGGTTTGAATTTGGTTTATCCAAGTTGAAATGATCTGTTGAGAGACCTACATTATGGTCCTTGAATCGTCTGTCGAAACCCCAGACCATAACAGGACCAGATGTCCATTTCCTGCTTTCAGCCCAAATCTCAGGTCCAAGGTGTTTTATCTTACAGTAATTAGCTAAAAAAGTGTTTTTATTAAAGAGATGCAGCTTGGTTCAGGTTTTAAAAACACATTGCACAAAATGCAGCCCTGCTTTAATTGCAAACATCCCGTTTTTGTTTTGTCTGAACAGAAGATGTTCGCCTCCTCATTCGGGTTCTTCAGTTAAAGTTCAGTTTTTTATGTTTTCACTGTAAAACAACAAACTCTTGCCAAGTATTCTTGGTTGCGTTTCTAGTGCAAATATCTTAGTACATGTGAAATAAGACAAAAATAACTTACAAGTAACTTTTCAGCAAGAAAGCTTGTTTTAAGTGAATGATTCATTAAAACTGATGGAACAGAACTGGTTCCACTGGCAGATTATTTCTCTTATAATAATGAAATTGTTTCTATGCTATAAGCGAAATAATCTGCCAATATAACAAGTACTTACTGTTCTCCTGTATTTTGCTGAAAGGTTACCTACTAGTTAATTTAGTCTAATTTCAAGTGTAATAACATATTTAGACACTAGAATAAAAATACTTGGTCAGATTTTGTGTTTTTCCTCCTGCTCTGGTTCAGGTGTTAATTATAGATGCGTCTCATTAAATCTTCAGACATTAAAAAGTCTGAAAAGTGTTTTTTAAATCTTTTTCCTCTTCCATGTCGGGTTTGAAAAGCCGAAACATTTCCTGCTGCGTCTCCTCATCGATCCGTCTTTGAAGGCAGTTTGAAGCGTAGGAATAAATGTTTTGGTTTTCCTGGAGGTTTCCTCACTCTGTCAGCTCGTCCAGCATCCTCTGCTTGTCTTCGATTTCGTCCCGCAGGCGGCTGAGCTGCTTCTGATGAGCCTCCCTGTGGCTCTCCAGCTGCTCCTCCACGCTTTTCTGGAGCTGGACGCAGAAATACGCATCAGAGACGCCAAGAAAACAACAACATGTAAACATCTGGTGGTGACGCCGTCGTCACCTTCACGTCCTCGTCTCCATCCAACCTGTTGAGGTCCTCCTTTGACACATCATGTCGTTTTTCTGAAGAGAAATCATCTTTAGATTTAGTCAGCCAAGCATAAGACGATGATAAAATGAAATAAATGTGCACGAAAGTAAACAAAATCCATTATGGTGAATAAACAAGCGATGCTTGACATGGAGGAAACAAGAATCAATAAAATACTTTTGATTTTTAAGGATTCTCTCTTAAAAATGAAACTAAAACTGATATTTAAGAGAACAAAATGTAAGAAAATTCATGCGTTTTAGTTGTAACCTGCAGTAAATTAACATATTAACAAAAAGGCTTGTTTTCAGTCACTAATTCTTGAAGACAAATTACAAAGTAAAAGTTCTAGTGGTAGATTTTCTTCACTTAAATCAGGAAAAATGTCTTGTAATTTTTAAATGTATATTCAAGAATTAGTGACTCAAAACAAGCTCCTAAATTTTGCTGAAAGTTTACCTGTAAACTAGTTTTTTGGGTGTTTGGAGTAAAACAATTTGACTATTTTGCAAAGAAAAATGCACAAAAGTATCAGTTTGTAGATTTCTGCAGCTGGTATATTAAACCCTGAAGACAAATAGTGAAGTTTATGGATAAGATGTGATGAAACATGTAAAAGTTAAACATGTATGTGTTGGTCTTGCTCTGCAGA